ACACACACCAATCCACATTGAGCCCGCGCAGAGGGTTAAAAGGCCCATTGATACTATTCGGTACGATTCCATACATAGGAAAGAAAGTTCTACTAATTCTACTTATTTACGCTTCCGAGCAGACGAAGTCACAGGTACAGCAAGTGTTATCAATATTTTCCTTTGAGATAAATTGAAATTCAAAAAAAAATCATTCGATTATTATATTTCATCCGTTTTGCATTCACAATGCTACACAGAAAAATATTCGTTATGAAAAATGGTTTAAAAATCCACTTTGTCCCATCTCAGAGTGCCAGGGACTGAAATGAAGTTTCGTGAGTTCGATAAGCGACTTTGTTGACTTTCAGAATTATGTACACAAACCCGGTAATTTATCATAATGTAACAGGAAAGTTGTATATGCTTACAATAATTAAATGGAACCGTTAAAGGCACTTTAATGTTTTGCAGTAAAATTGCAACTAAAATTAAGCAAACTCTGACATAATCAAAACAAAACATTTTTTTAAATAAATTTTACTTACCCTTATTCAAACGATTTATAACTGATTTTATAAACCATAATAGTACTAATGTCATAACAAAAATTATAAGATAGATTTTAATATAGATTGGTGTAAAAATATCATGATTAATTTCAAAGTTCCCAAAGTTACGTACGCTAGATGTCGCTGAACTAGTGCACATAGCCAATAGGTAAAAACATACACTGTGGCCGCCGAGAGAATGCGTTCTGTCTGACATCTACTGTCAAATACTCACGAATTTCCTCCATTGGCGGCCATATTGTTTGCCTATTAGAATCCAATTTGTTGAACCTTAATTTTTTTGTGATAAGACCTCCCACGTAGATTGACTTAGCTCATCGAGTTACGAGCATATTTTTAGATGATATTTATTAATGTATGTGCGTATATATCATGTATGTGTATGTTGCAACCTTTATAGGTTGGAACGGTATGTATTAAAACCTCTACAGATGGCAACATACGGTTAGAACAGTCAGTATGGGAAAGTATAAGACAAACAAAGATCTACTTTAAAAGATCCAACAACAAAAAGAACAAAAACTATTCCGAGAGTGCAGAGAGTGAGCTCTCGGCCATGAAAAATATTATCTAGGTTCGGCTGGTTCTTACATTAGATCAAAGAAAATTTGTTTACTAATTTCAGATTTTGGAGGTAATTTAAAGTGGACTCACAGCACTTAATCTAAAATTAACATAAATATATATAATAAAATATAAACTTTAATATTGCCACATCAATTCAATTTACTGACATTCTCTCAAACAACACAAGTAGAATAAAGTTAAATTCTACCTTGTTATAATTGGATACGATTCAGTCAGAGCGGTATAAAAACCGTAGCTGAAACAAAGGAAATCTAAGCGCGTTACTTTCATAAAAATTGAAAAAATATGGTAACTACTAAATTGTTCTGCTGTTTACTTATAATATGACTTTAGTTTATTTATTTATTCGGTTTTCACCAACATTCAATACATTAAAACGTACGATAAAAACTTAATTTAAAACACAAGATAAAATGTATCAATCGATAACAGGTTTGTATACAGGTTACAAACTGTTTTGTATCAAAATAAGAGTAATAAGAAATGCGCACCCATCCCACTATAAGTGATTTATTAATTGGCAAACAATATGGCCGCCAATGGAGGAAAGTCGTGAGTATTTGACAGTAGACGTCAGACAGAACGAATTCTCTCGGCGGCCACATTGTATGTATTTAACCTATTGGGTATGTGCACTAGTTCGGCGACATCTAACGTACGCAACTTAGGGAGCTTTCAGCAATTCAGCAAATAATCTATATTTGATGTGGTGTAATGAGTTAGTTAATAAACGTCGCTTATCGTGAACGAACGTATTTTATTTAATAAATCCGATCCGAATATCAGAACTTCATGGTGGGTGGAAGAGTAAATGATAATACAGTTTCATGTAAAAAATGTTTAATCCAACAATTACAAATTATGTCAACTGAATTTCATCAAATGCTAAATCTTGGACTATCTATTAAAACTAGGATACAAAATAAGCGGCACAAACGCCCGCTGTCTGAGCAGAGTGGAAGCGTGCGATCCTAATTGAGTGGCAGTTTCTCGGTTTCGGTACACCATCAGAAGCACTAATTCTAAAGCGGTACGAGCGTCCTCCACGGGCGAGTGGCCTCCACTTCTTCGATCCTTAACTGGACGTCCGAGTATTTCCTCTGATAAAGAACGCAGAGACCGACGCAAAGGAAATCCTTTTGCGTGCGGATACAAATCGCTCGTGTCCACCACAGCGTTGTGAAGTAACTTTAGCGCCCTGAGATCGTTCTCTAACGCGTGACCAATCAAAATCGTGTCTGTGCCGACAAATCCAAGTATGTCATTCTGTACGTCTCTAAGTGTCTTCTTAGCTGTCTGTAGGTCGCGAGGTCGAATGCCGGAGAAACGTGTGTTATAATCCACGACAGGCGAGGTAGGCTTCACATACTGTTGGTAAACAATGCGGCCGTCGACTGCAATAAAAGCTATCGAGGCCAATTCGAAGCCGGCCGCCGTGTAACACATCTCTGCATCCACTGCATAGATTCCACCACGGCGATGACGTGCACGCACATATCCCTTGAGAGGCCCGTTAATCCCGGGTCGAGTGCCACTCCATACGTGACAACGTGATACAGTGCAGCCAATTGCCCCCACATGTTTATTACAACATTCAAATTTCTTCCCCGACACTCGACCCCAGTGATGGAAGCACTCTTCTTGGACAAAGTCAAGCGTCATTTTGAACTTTCTATTACAACGCGCACACAACACTGTATCCGTTTCATAGTTCATTTTCCATGAAGTCGCCGGCCGAGGTTTAAGCCGTGACAGCGGATTCACATACATTATTGCTTCAGTTGAATTCTTCTCGATTTCCACAGGATAACCTCGACTCCACATGGTATCTTTAGTTAATATGTATTTCTGAAGCCGATGTTCTAAGTTTTGTAGCGGAATCCTGGGGGCCGGCGGCGGCGACGGTGGTGATGAAGACGGTTGCTGTTGGCGATATTGTACTGCAATGATCGCGGGGTCGTGAAGCTGAATACATGAATACATTATTCTTGTCTTTCTGGTATACGTAGAGCCGAGAGAGCGGGTGAGAGCGGTGTGAGAGCCGAGGATACGTGTTACGGCGTGCGCGGGCGCTGAACTAATGGCGGCCTGCTGGAGGAGCCGACGGTTTTATACTGCATCAGGATTATTATGACAGTGCAGGGTGGGAGTGACTCGCACGTGTTATTTACGGGGACCACCTAGGTGTGCTTTAATTATACTTGTTTATAATGACTAAAAAAATAATGGAAATTATCTATGCCTTAAACATTTGGTAAGTAAATCTTAATGATAGCATTAAATAAAATCTCGTTGCCATCAGCAAAATAATAAACAAATATTCAACTACAAAAGTTGTACACAATAATCTATAGGTTTATAGCCAAATTTATGTCAAAAATTCTGAAAATGATAATATTATAATTTCATTTTTACATAACCCTGAACAAATCTAGTTTTTTTGTTCGAAAACCTTAATAACATAGTTATTTTGAATTATGATAAATTTTATCGTAAGACTTATATTATAAAAAGTAATAGGACTTTATCAGAAAATTAAATTACTTTTTTTTCGTTAGCGATATGTGATTCTGTAATCTGAATAAAATACCTTATTACGTGAATAATAGTGAATTATATAGGAAATGTAATTCAATTCATATCTCAAAAATTTGAAATCGATAAAAATATAAATTTAAATGTGGTGGTTTTAAAAATATGTTGTTATTTAGGAATCACACATTCGATCCAGTTACGAGCTAAAGTTTCATCGTGATCCTAAACAAAGTCAGGTTTTATCAAAATTCTGTCTTTATTGTAATCCATATAATAAAAATGTTAATAAGTTTCTCGTAACTCTAAAATTAAACGCTTTATAAATATAAACGATAAATGGATATTTCAAGTTATAATTACGGAATTTTAATTTTATATAATATAATTTTTATCCAACAGGTATACTTGTCTAAGAAGAAGGTAATTTTGTTTAATTCATATAAAATTGATTGATACAAAAAAAATGCTTTATAACGAGTCAATTTACGTACACAAACACCACGTGGTAATAATACTAGTAAACAATTGTAGAGCGGAAATCTCCCACACCTGTATTGTTGGTGATGAGCTTTTGTAACTGCGTCGAGGAGAAGTGGAACAATAATTGAACTCATCGTCTAAGGGAGACAATGCGGACATAAATAGAGATGTACTTATATATAAGAGAGGACAATAGACTGTTGTTGTATGGTCTTTGTCTGTCTGAAATGTGTTTAGACCGGTATTTTTAAGCGTTTTCCATTAAGAATATAATTTTAAACATTTTTAATAAAGTTAACTTACATTTAACTAAAATGTGTAGGTCCTATTTTGTTTGATAACTTTTTTCACCTTCTAGGTAGGGACATGATATTTTGTGCAGCTGCAGGACTGTACAGCGGAAACATTATAGGTACAAGGGTATTGAATATATGATTTCTGCCAACTCCATTTTGTAAACGAATGTCTATAACACACACCAATCCGCATTAAGCCCGCGCAGTGGGTTAATGCCCATTGATCCTATTCGGTTTGACTCCATTCATAGGAAAGAAATAATTCTACTAATATACTTTCCCAAGCGGACGAAGTCGCGGGCACAGCTAGTGTTATCGATATTTTCTTTTGGGATTAATCAAAATCCTCAAAAATTGTGAAGGTGGTTAAGAAATTCTAAAAAATTCATTAGTCATAATGTTATACTGAAAAAAAAAGTTTATGAAAATAGCTTAAAAATCCACTTTGTCCCATCTCAGAGTGCCAGGGCCAAAAAATAAAATTATTAGAATTTGGGCTGTTAAAACATGACCTATAAATCTGAATTGAAGTTTCGTGAGTTTAATAAGCGACTTTGTTGACTTTCAGAATTATTTGTTTTTTTTATATTTTTCTAAATTTGGTTAGTGATACACACAAACCCGGTCCTCAGAAATTACTCATTGCGGTCTGAAATCCATATTTCATTTGTCACTACATTACTGGAAAGTTTTCAACGTTTACAATTATTTAACGCAACCGTCACAGACGAATTAAGAGAAAATGCGCTCTGTCCGACGTCAACTGTCCCTGAATAGGACCTTTTTGATACATTTTTGTTTATGGTTTATATTTATTTTTTATAATATTTTTGTTCATTATATCGATGAAGAAAAAGAAAAAGACGTATTTTTATTTGCTAAAAATTCTCTAAAAAAATAACGGCTAAATAGTATTATCAGTCATTTACAAGTGGTCCTTTCGCATATATTATTCGAACCGGCATCAATCATAATGGTAAATACACGTTCACAAAGTAAACTGCAAGAAAATATGCCTGATGGCCGGGCACCAAATACTGAAGCAGCCGCAATACAGCCCGCGGACGAACATCAGGTACCGTTTGACACCCACTCACACACATCACAGTCGGTAGCAACCACGCGCACAAGCCGCTCTTTCGCTACAGTTACCGCGAGAAAACTCGCAGCGGAGGCACAGCATAAACGTCATCTCGCTCAATTGGAGATGACCGCTATGCGCGCACAGATAGAGCTCATATTGCTGAGAAATATTGAGTGGGACGAGCAGCTAACAGAGGCAGACCAACTTATTTGGAGTGAATGGTTAGAGAGTCTCCGATCTATTGTCGACTTACAGGTGCCACGTTGTTACTGTCTGAGCGACTACATTGTGGTGGAGTTACACGTGTTTTGTGACGCTAGTGAATTAGCTCATGCAGCCGTTGCATATTGGCGGTTTATTCTTCCTTCTGGAGAAGTTAGGGTCGTGCTTATTGCTAGCAAGGCACGTGTTTCGCCACTTAAGCCCGCTTCGATACCGCGTCTAGAGCTACAAGGTGCGCTGATAGCCTCTCGTCTTGCCACCACAATTTGCGAGACTCACCGGTTCATTCCCAGTCGCCGCTTCTTCTGGTGCGCATCTATGACTGTGCTGGGGTGGTTAAGAAGCGATGCCAGAAATTACAAGCCATTTGTGGCGCATCGCATTGGTGAAATTATAGAAAATACTAACGTGAGCGAATGGCGTTGGATTCCGAGTGACATGAACGTCGCAGTTCAGAGAGTGCGCCCTCGGCCATGAAAAATATGATCCAGGTTTGGCTAGTTCTTACATTAGATCACAGAAAATTTGTTGACTGATTTCAGATTTTGGAAATAACTTTATTTAATCGAAGAGACAAAAAGGAATAATTAGTGAATGTTTATTTGTCGAGAGAAACTTTTATAAAATTAGTGATTTTTATTCCTCTCGAGAATATCTACTTTACTTTATAAATACTGTATAATTTTCGGTAATTTATAAAAATTAAAAATTTGTTATTTCCCTTCTTCTACGATTTCAAAAAAGAAGGCTGTCAATTCGACAGAATTTTATACCTAGGGTTATAGGTATATACTCCATTCACTACAACATTAGAAAAAAAGAGGGTCAAGGAAGCAGCAGTGCAGAACATTTTATTTTCAAGATAAATTTAAATAAATATAAATTAGTTTTGTTGAAACTTTGAACGTTAGGTAGTCTGAAAGAGCTGGGCAATTTTCCATTTTTTATGGATTGAGATGAGGCCAGCATTTTATAAATTCATCTTTTCCCAAGCTAAAATGGAACTAAAACTGAAACTATGTGTGATAAATTCTAATTGTAAGTGTAATTAGTTAGACTATTGATAAAGACGTTGGAAAAGCTCCCTGAAATGTCAAAGTTTGAGGGTAGGTATGGGGGCTTAGAGCGTAATTTTTGTAGCCCACTCGGGCCTGCACCGGCATCGTCCATATTTACCAAAACTTAACAACAAAAATAAAACAATAACATCACGGAAAATGGCAAAACAACAAGAAAGGCAATAGCATTCACAATGGATGACAATCCCAGATTACGATTTTAACAATTATTAATAAATAATAGTCTGACAAAATTAAAATGCTGTACTACCGAAGCGTTTGAAGGAGTGAGGCAATGTTTTAAATTTGGTAGAGTTATAGTGACATTAGAATCGTACCGAAACTATCCAACCCAAGCAGGGTTGGATAGTTTCTTTAGGCTCTTTACGATGAACACTTTTTATTGTAATACTTATTAAATAATTTAAGTTAGTCATATACTCATAAATTTGTTTAATAGATAGCTTAAATGACAACAGTTAAGTATAGCAGCTGGTATTTAAGTGGATATGTAGCAAATTAGCCGTCAGTCTTAAAAGTAACATGATTATTGATATTTTGTCACAAAGTATACCATAAAAAGAACCTTATTTAACTTCTGTCTAATTCTATAATGAATGGAGTATAGGTATAACATACTGTGAATGCAAATTATGTTTCTTTTTATGTTTGGTAACAGGATTGGGTCAGTTTTGTAACCTAAGAAACTAGTAAGAGTTTTTCACCCAATTTTTTTTTTCAAAAAACGTTATCTTACTTAGTATAAGGCTATAGCAAAATTACCTACGAATTAAAATGATCCAGCAAATAAAAAAATAACAGAATTAAAAATTAATGTACAACAAAGTTTATTCAGTCTATTTACAAGTAATCGTGAATGTCGAAAAGCTACGCCATCGGTTCGTAAGTCTACGGCGGGAGACCTTGCACTGAGAAGAACTGGCAAGAAACTCGGCAAGGGCTGCTTTTTCTCCCTCTTATGTTCCATACATCATCGCAACACAGAAAATTGTCTCGCTAGATTATGTTAAAATTAAAAAAAATACTAACTAATCACTACAATTTTAAGAGAGAATAAAAAAGCCAACTTATTACAAGAATATAATAGAAATGAAAACACTACTAACTAAATACAAGTAGGGGAGGTCATTAATAATTATTTTCAC